AAATCCAAACTGACTCTTTTAAAATGACAAAAAAAGTTCTGGATTAAATATACACTATATTGGCAAAAGTATTGGGACTCCCCTCCACAGTGGCGGAACTATTAACCAAAGGGCCCTGGTGCAAGATTTTATCTTGGGCCCCCCTCCCAAGACGGGGGCCGGAGCGGATCACACTGGCCCCCACTCCCCCCCATCGGTCTCTAATGTTGCAGTAGCGTGCTGGACTTACCTGAGACCCTGCAGAGCACACCATAGATCCTGTATAGCCCACCTGAGACTCTCTATGGTGGGCTCTGCAGGGTCCAAGGTGGTCTGGTCGTCGGGATGCCGCCGCGGTACAGTTGATACCCATGTAAGAGGCCCCCCAGACCCATCACATGGGTACTGGCCATACCCCTCTGATGGTGGTGTTCTATCAAAGGTTGTGACTACGTTAAAATGTGTGACTGGTGACATGGTCACACGTTTTAACGTAATCCTGCCCAGTTTTTCGGCGGTGGAATGTGTGACCACCAATAGGTGAAGCATTCCAGCGCTTTCCGATCTGTTCCAGGGCAGATCAGCATCGCAAATTGCATGTGCAGGAGAACCGATCTGCCCTGAAACAGCTGATCGGTCCTGAAATGTCACTTCTCACCGACTGCGATCTCAAATTCCACCGCACTCACAAAGTCGGATAGAAGTGACATTTCAGGACCGATCAGCTGTTTCAGGGCAGATCGGTTCTCCTGCACATGCGATTTGCAATGCCGATCTGCCCTGGAACAGCGGAGAAAGCGTTGGAATGCTTCACCTATTCCACCGCCGAAAAACTGGGCGAGATTACGTTAAAATGTGTGACCACGTCACTGATCACACATTATAATGTAGTCTCAAACTTTGATAGATCACATGCCTACCTGTAATCATTTAATCAGAGAAATAGATTATAATAGGGAACATTACAGTGTAATATTCCCCATTATAATCCACTAGTCTAATTACAAGAAAAAGTATGAAATACCAGTACACAACTACTATTCTACTATCTACTACAACTACTACAACTACTATCCATCCGCCACCCCGCGCGCGGCGCTCGACTTACCCAGCCAGGGAGTTTCTATGTGTGCACTGCAGGGGGCGGGGCTTGTGACACACACACGCCTCCTCCTGTGACTCACCTCCCTTCCCGCCACCTGTTACTATGGACGCGGCCGGGAGGGGAGGTGAGTCACAGGACCCGCCCCCTCACTGTGAAGCCCGTCGGCAGTGCGGGGCCCCAAACACCGGGACCGTGCACTGCCATATATTGCAGGACCGCGCCGAGGCTGCAGGGGTGCCCAGGACTGGACCGGACCCCACTGGGCCCCCCCACAGGCTCAGGCCCCGGTGCCCCGGCACCGCCTGCACCAACGGTAGTTCTGCCACTGCCCCTCCAAATCATTGGATTCAGGTGTTTCAATTACCTCCATGGCCACAGTTGTATACAATCAAGCACCTAGGCATGCAGACGCTTCTACAAACATTTGTGAAAGAATGGATCACTCTCAGGAGCTCAGTGAATTCAAGAGTGGAACCGTGATAGGTTGTCACCTGTGCAATAAGTCCATCCGTGAAATTTCTTTGTTACTAAATATACCACGGTCACCTGTTAGTGGTATTTTAACCAAGTGGAAGCAACTGGGAACAACAGCAACACAGCCACTAAGTGGTAGGCCACGTAAAATGACAGAGCGAGGTCAGCGCATGCTGTAGCGCACAGTGCGCAGAAGTCGCCAACTGTCTGCAGAGTCAATGGCTACAGACCTCCAAACTTTGTGTGGCCTTCAGATTGGCACAACAACAGTGCGTAAAGAACTTCATGGAATAGGTTTCCATGGCCGAGCAGCTGCATCCAAGCCTTACATCACCAAGTGCAATGCAAAGCGTCAGATGCAGTGGTGTAAAGCACGCCACTACTGGACTCTACAGAAGTGAAGACGTGTTCTCTGGAGTGACAAATCACGCTTCTCTATCTGGCAATCTGATGGACGTGTCTGGGTTTGGCGGTTGCCAGGAGAACGGTACTTGCCTGACTGCATTGTGCCCAGGCCCGGATTTACTCCCTCTGCCGCCCCAAGGCCGGGTCCTTCAATGCTGCCCCCCCCCATATTCCAAAAAAAGTGGGAGTGATTATGCAAAAATGTATGACCAGGTGAATGGTCACACATTCCACCGCTGTCGCAATCTTTGATAGAACACCTGCCCCGCTGAGTTCTCTGCTCATACTTGCCCCCTCTTTTGCCTAAAAAAAACCTGAAAGTCCCCCAACCCTGAAAACGCACATATACTAACGGAAACATAATTCAGGTGCACCTAGATAGAAAAATTATGAGTGCGCTACACATGTCAGTTGTCACCACGTATTTTATTTTAAATTAAGGTTTTTGTTTTTTTAATCTGATTAATTGAAAATAATAATAGGCTAACTAATCGATTATGAAAATATGAACTTATTTATTAATGTAAATCATTGTAATTGAACAATATTTCTGAGGTTACCTGTGATTTGCATATTGTGTTATTGAAGACATACCTAGTGTATTTGTGCACTGTTTTTATACACTAACTGTACATTTATGCATTATGCAGCATACCCAGCAAGGAATTAAATACCTTTGAGTCAAATAGTCTGCTTGGCACTGTAATCTCGTCCTGGAGGTGGCCAGAGGCAGAGCAGTGATGGGAGAATCATAGCTGCCTGGAAGATGTGGAGATGACACTGGATCTGGATGTGAAGGTCCTCAGTCAGGAGGAGAGGGCTGGAACGTCTCCGGCGCCAGTTTTCTTTGAGGTCCACTCCAGGATTTCCTTCTTAGCCATGAGCAGGAAAAGTAAAAGAGCCCTCCCATCTGCCTGACGCCGTGACTCAGGGCGCCGCGTCTGAACATCGGGACTTGTTGATAGTGGTCGCCGGTCGGGACGGCAGGATTTTTTCACCCCCACGCTGCCGCCCCTGCACTCACTGCCGCCCCGAGGCCTGGCCTCGGTGGCCTTGTCAGGAATCCGGCCCTGACTGTGCCAAGTGTAAAATTTGGTGGAGGGGATTATGGTGTGGGGTGGTTTTTCAAGGGTTGGACTTAGCCCCTTAGTTCCAGTGAAGGGAACTCTTAAGGCATCAGCATACCAAGACATTTTGGACAATTTCATGCTCCCAACTTTGTGGGAACAGTTTGGGAATGGCCTTTTCCTGTTCCAACATGACTGCACACCAGTGCACAAAGCAAGGTCCATAAAGACCTTATTTTTCGTTGAACATTTTATTCCAATTTTTTAATATATATTTTTTGCATGGATCGTTTATATATTGTTATATATTCGAGGTCTTTACACAGTGGTTGAAATTTTTTATTGTCCCAATCATTTTCTGTTTTTCCACAGCACAATTGTACTATTAATTTTATTTTTTATTTTATGATTCTATGTAAGACATATCACTTGTTTTAGGGTTAGACCGCCTAAACCCTAATTTCACTATATCACTTGGTTATACTAAGTTTCATATTAGTTATTCCTTTAGCGCTTTGATATATATTTTTCTCAATCTCCACCATCTACCTTCAACTATGTATCGCATAGTGCGCATCCCCATTGAGTCGATGGATGTGCACCAAACATGGAAAAGAAGTACATGTTGCAAATTAGGCGACATGCGTTCAGCATTTTTCCCATTGAGTGTATCACGTTATGTTGCTCATACGTCAATAAACAGACGTATTTGATTGGCTATTGGCGAGCCGGTGTCTATATATTTCGTCTGCATTTTTTTACCCTCACATTCCCGTGCACACAAAAATGTTATTTGTTGTACTATTACCTATCTCAAGTGCATTCATGCACATATCCTGAATGTGCGTCAAAGAACGCACTTTTGTGCATGTTTGACTCGCGTTTACGATACACCCCGGTGCCTGAAGGATAAGTACACTTTGATTTCTTTAAGGGTCCATTCACCCCAGCAGACATCTCAACTCTCCCAGACGTTCTGGCAATCTCCCGCTACAAGATATTGGCTGCCGGATATCCGCAAGAGAAACATTTTACCCCTAGAAAGGTTTACTCTGCTCTATTTAGCAGAGTAAACCTTTCCCTGCTGTTTTTTTTTTTTTTTGGACAGCGGGCCATGGACCGCCGCCAGAGTAAAAAATAAATAAATAACAGACTGCATGGGAATTAATTGCTAGGCTGTTAATGGCTATTTCAACTTGCAATAGCCAATAGCAGACTGGCTATTGTACCCGCCCACTCCTGCAGACATGGACCTGAAGTTCTCCTTTAGATCCTCCTCTGCTCTTTGACAGCAGCAGTGGGCGGGTGCAACAGTATCGTCGGGATCGGTCCTGGCTGCGGCAGTCCCAGTATACCGCAAGCTACAATACTGAGCTTTGAGTCACGGGAGGACGCTAGTATATGTACTCCTGTAAGAGAACTATGGGGAAAAACACTTACCCCATAGTTCTCCTTTAAAGCCCACACACATCAAGACACTCCCATTTTCTTCTTCTGCCCAAAGTGTCAGGTCTCTTATTTTTTTCTTCCAGGCAGGTGACAACCCTAGTAATTTGGAAAAAAGTATGGCATGAGCTAGCCTGTAACAGAACACTTTTTTAGTCAAGCTCATCTAAACCCCCAGCAGGAACAAAACTACCACGTCCGACAGGCACAGGAGCGCTCTCACTGTCCTACATTACGTGACACCGCTATTCACCCGCAGACTGCGCTGGAGCGCTGTTACGCGTCACGTGAGCTGTGCCGCACTGTCCCCGTCCCGATAATAAGGAGCTGCACGGATGAAGGCATTTTTCCGAAGACCAAAAAGTAAAGTACTGGCTCTTAAAAGCAGTGGAATAGCGGCGAGCTTTTTTTTTTTAATGCCGTGACATAGTTATAAGAAACTGCACGCGTGTGAGCTAAGAAAGTTTCACTTCGTGCCTGTGACATTCTGCGCAGTTCCACATTCCAGCAGAGTCACGGCTCGCTTCCCCCTATGCCCCGCCCCCTCCGCAGACGCTGCGCATGCTGGGATGCCGTGGCCGTCAGTTGGAGGCCGCGCTCCGCTGTGAGTTGTGCGGTTCGCGGTGCTCGGTGTGTACGTGAGGTGACTGGACACTCGGGAGCGACGGCCTGGTGACAAGGTTAGACTCAGCCTTGCTTTGTGCTGGTCGCAGTTCTACATGGCGTCACTAGTGTGTGCTGGAGGAGGGCTTCCTGGAAGTTTGTGTTGTTATTACGTATGTTGTGTGTGCTGTCTCCCAGGAGAATGAGTGAACTCTCTGCCTCAACACACACAGCCGGTCCCTGGGGGTCTCAGCGACTTCTGTAGGAGAAATCATACGGTTCTGCTCGATGTATGGTAATACCTGACTTTGCAGCTGTCAGCCACTTCCATGGGCAGTTCTTAACTTTGCAGATCTGTACCTGGAAATGGCCTTGTTTTGTAATGGTGACCAACCTTATCCTCTGTAAACTCCCAACTATTCATATCGAGGTCACTTCTTGCTGTATATGGCCAACTGTAAAGTATATTTATTGGTGAATGTTCGTATGAAAAACCTCATCAGAACATTTGATAATTCCATCAGAGACCTGACAAATGTTATTTGAAGTTCACTTTGATGTTAACATTTGGTTTTGGAATGAATGGAGTTTCCTGAACGAAAACCACAGTATTATTATACAGGATTTATATATTGCCAACCGTTTGTGCAGAGCTGTACAATATAAGGAAGACATTACAATTCAAGACAAGACGGTACGGAGGGCCCTGCCCATGATGGCTTACAATCTAAAAACATTCACTGTTAGAAGTTTCTTAGTTTTAATCCTTCTTTTTTTTTTAATCACTAATGTTGAAATTGATCTCCAATTTAATCCCGTTAAGTATTAGAAAAACTGAACAAATGTTCTAAAATGTTTTTTTTTTTTTTTTTTTTACAAAATTCTACTGGTGTATGGCCATCTAAAGGGTCTACCCCAGTTTTTATCAACTTTATACACCAGAGAAACCATTGAAATCTTCAAATTCATTGGGGTCAGTGGGGAAAAAGATCTCTTACATTGGTGGCCATTGGGATGGGTGCCCCCCTTACGATGGCGGTCGTTGGGGTGAGTGGCCTCCCTTACGTTGGGGCCTGTTGGGGGGAATGTTCCCCAACCCTTACAGTCAGCTAGAAAATTGTTTTTGGTGTCATGCTGCTAGTTATGCCAAGTGGCTTTGGACCCAAAATTATGTGGGCACTATGAAATGGATCAATCATCCACAGCTCAAGGAACCCCCAGCAACCTCTTGAGGAACCCTGGCTGAGATTGGATGTTCTACTCTTAGTCAAAAAATGTATTACCTAACATGTTTCAGAGTTTGATGGTGTAACAAAGTCCTCTTCTACCTTCCTACCCCTGAGGAGCCATAGAAATAATCTTTAGGTCTCTGGGATCCTGTGAGAGGCCAATATGCTGGACATTGTATTTCCCTGTTTAGTTCCTGTAATTATTTACCAAGTAGTTCTTTCTAGGATTAGTAACAACTGCAGACAGGTTTGCACAAAACATATATTTGTAATGAGTCACAATGGACTTTTTAAAGTTTGAACAAATACAGTAGATATTAATTCTGTTTACATAGTTAAAGTGAAATTAAACCTTCCATTTTTTAAATTTATTTTTATGGTTATGAGGACCATACTTGCTTGAACTGCCTTTTTAAAAATTTTATTCCCTCGTTCTGTCCCCAAACCGTTAAATTCTCACAGTCTGGGAGGCAGCTGAGTTATTGAAGAAATTCCCTCCCTGTCTTACCCACATTGTAATTGCACTGAACCCAATGTTGGATAATCTACATTTCTTTGTATGTATTGCAATAAACAATGTGGAATGGCAAGCTTGTAAAATGTGGAAGTCCCGGGTTGCTATGGAAACTTTAAAAAGGCCCTTAGCAGCCAGAAAGTCCTGCAAATGTGCTTCTCTATACTGGGACACTGGGGATTGATGGAGACAACCAGTCACCTCCTTGTGAAGCTTGTGCATTTCCACCTCCTGTTGTGCAGGTTTGGTGGCTTCGGAATGGTGATAGCGGAGACAGCTCGGTCAGTGGGCTGGTCATGGCTGTTATTAAGCTAGATAAAGCCAATGCACTTGCTGGAATCTTTTAACATGCGTGCTAAATAGGTGTTTGGTTTATTTTAATAAATTCAGTCCCTGTGTAAGAAGAACTTTTGTATATCCATCATTCCCTTAAATGTCCAGTTTATTAGCCAAAGACAGAGTATCAATGCAGCAAACCTGAGGGTATGGTCAGAATCATGCATGCTCCATGTTTCCTATATTTGAAATCTAAATATCTAAAATCATAAAATGTGAAATATTGAAGCTTATCAGTCCTTGAATGTGGTGGATGCATTTGATTCCTTTTTTTTTCTCACTTTATTTTCAACTGCTGATCCTGCCAGCAATATGCTTTCTGTCCTAGGGTGACAGTGTTTGGTCACTAAAGGAGCAGCTTTGTTGCTCTCTACTAATTGGACTTGGAGGCTTGCTCTGCTAACTGGACCACAAATACCTTATCTCCATTATATGGGAAGGAGTGGATTTTGTAGTTCAAAGATAGCTGGGAAAGCTGTTTCCATTTTTTGAGGTATCAGAACAGTGCAGAGGATGGTAAAGTTGTAATAAAGGTTATTAATTTTTTTTTACCTCAAGCTTTAAGGTAAATGTACCTATACTCCATGTTCACTGCCACTGATCTGTCATGTGTCCTCGAAGTTGTGGTTTGAGAGGAGGCATCATGAGGCCACTGAATGCAGGGCAGCGATAGGCTGCTGAACCTGCCCATCAAGATACTGTGAGGCGGAAGGTGGCTACTGGGTGTGTGTGTGTGTGTGTGTGTGTGTGTGTGTGTCAATTGTTGCACACAGCAAAGTTCAATTCCTGGCAGGGAGCGTGCATGCATGGGGGGTCTCCTTTGCAACCTGCTAGACAGCAAGGGACATTCATAAACAGCCCAAAATGAAATGGGCTGTAAAAAAAAAAAAAAAAAAAAAACAAAACACAA